TACCTTGTTGTGTTTTACAGTGTAGTATGTGTTGTTAATTTGGCGTTACTTAAATATCCAGTCCAATTATACAATTATTTATTTATTTAAATTGTTTCTTTTAATCCCAAAAATGGTTTCTTTTAAAATAAACTAAATTAAACTAACCATTTTGTGTATGCATTATGTCCGTTTTCTTTTGGATGACATTTTTTTAAGTTACTTTAAGTCACTTATTCCATATACTTCACAAATACCATTATAGATTTCCTCCACTCAAATGTATGTTTTTAGATTTTGATAAATATATTTCATATATATCTTGATAAATATATTTACAATTCAAAATATAAACACTGTAAATCTTTATTTTGTGCATGTCTCATGCATATGCAGCTTCCTCTTATAATATTTTAGCATGACAACAAACAAGTATTACTTTACCTCCTACAGTTCAGTACAGCCAAAGTTTGAAAGTGTAATTAGGGGCTGTTTATGTGATTTTTCTCTGTCGCCCAAAAACTCCAGCATAAGCGATGCTGCTTGATGTCGGGCCGGTGCCTGTGGGCAGGACCACATACATACTCTAGAGACATTAACACCAGCATTTCAACTCTTGCTCACGCTTCAACTCTTATTAGAGACTTGATTAAAACTTCATCCCCTGAGACTCTCCTGCTAAGTCTAGCAAAAAATATCCACTTTCCAGGATGTAAATCTCAGTATGAACAGAAGACACGATAGAAAGTTCAAAATGGCCATTATGACATGTTAATCTCCAGAAATGAACACCACTCCATAGGAACATCGTCAGTATTTGATTTACATTGAGTGTGTATTTTCAATTAGAGGTGCGCAATATCAGCTCAGGCTCATAGGAAATATGTCAGCCTACATTTCTTTTCTTAACATAAAATACGTTGCTCAGTGTACATTTTGTTGCTCATTTTAGATGGCAAATCCACTAGAGGGCGCTGTCTACACTTTTGCGAACCTGAAATTTAAATAACCAATTATAAAAGAGACCAGTTATGCAAAAATCACCTTTATAAGGGGTTTAAACACAGTTGTGTGGCAGCAGTCTGTGAATATTAGCAGCTTCTAATGGTAAAAATGTATTTATTTTATTTATTATAATCAGACTTGATATAAACAGTCTGCAGAAACACTTTGATTGACATTCTCCCTTTGTAGGTGTCATCAGAGGGGGAAAGCCCCGCCCACTAGTGACAATCTCTCCCTCATTAGCATATGACGTAAGTCTTGTTTGTGAATCTGCCACTATGCTGACGAATTTGTAGCTCCGCCCTCTTTTGAAAAGAACACAATCTCATTTGAATTTAAAGCGGCAGCCACCAAAATGGCACAATTAGGATCAAAGTCTGAAAGGGTCAGTTTTAGAGAGTTACAGAACATTAGAACGTTATAGAATATTATAAATGGGGTATTTTGAGCTGAAACGTCTCACACACACTCTAGGGACATCTGAGATTTATTTTACACATTGTAATAATAGGCATAGTTGGCCCTTTTTAAGCTTTTTAAAGTGAAAGCTACAAAAAAAAATGAAAATTCTGTCTTCATTTCACTCAGTGTCTATTTAACCGTGGTCTTAGTAATTCCTTATTCCTTATACAGTAACTTAGTCTTGACAGCAAATCACCTCCTAAAATGACAACAACCTCTTTGTTTACAGGTTTTTGGATGTTCAAGCGTTTGCCGCCATACCATTTGCAGACATCCCAAATCTCCCGGAAGTTCCGGGAGTCTCCCGCAGATGCATACAGACTCCTGGGGAACCCGCAAACGAAAGACAATCTGCCCTTCGGACACGTTGCGTGCCCTCTGTCAACCCATCCCTCCCGGTCTTAAGATACGTCAAATCCCCCACCCCCACCCCCAGTCTTCACACACGTAACCTCCACATCCAACCCCTCAAAATGTTTTAACATAGAGGAGGGATCTCAGACAGGACATATTGTACCTTGTGTTACTTTGACATGGATTACAAAACCAGAGAACATTTGTTTGCTAGCAAAGCTGGTTCTTTTCAAAGTATAAATTTCAAGCTTTACGTAGATGTATTTCTCATGTCTGTGAGGCAAGCATTCGCTGAGATTTTAGTGGATTTGCAGATCCCAGAGGGTTCATGACAATGAAGCTGCAGAAACTGTCATAAACACACACTAAATCAAGCCCCAGAGAGTCGTCACTGTATAGCGATCAGTGATTGGCTGCTTTACTAAGAGGAGGGGCTTCCTTTGCTAGAGGAGATATATTAACCATATATGAACCATTTTCATGATCAGATAAAACATATTAAGTGACCTGGAGTAAACAGCCCCCATGCACTGTATAACGCATCTATTAATTAACAGTTCCTGTATTTTGTGTTTTCTATTTATTTACGGTTTGGAATTGCATTATAATGATAATAATAATAATGTTTCCTTACATTTATATAGCGTTTTTTTTTTGGACACTTAAAGCGCTTTACACATTTTGGGGGAAATACCAGACCGCACACCACACACCAGCTGATTGGTGGAGAGTGATGAAGCCAATTATGATATGGGGCTGGTTACAGGCCCAAAGCCAGGGGGGTTCCGGGGGGTTCGAAAGACACACCCTTCACTAACAAATGTCCAAAATTTGTCCCAGATGAGCTCATTTGTCTTATTTTGACTGCTATGCCATCATTGATTGTGAAAATAACCCATCAAAAAATATTTTAAGACCAAGGGGAATCCATGGCTGTTTCTTCAGTGTGACTTTAGATAATCAGTTTTGATCAATGCAAACTAATTTTTTCATAAGTCCAACATCCAGCTGTTCAAGAAAATAGACAATCTGACACAAGATAAGTCATCTTTCACTACTGTATTGTTTTTATACAAAAAAAATGACTGATAAAAAGGTGTGAAGCACTAAAAGCGGGTCATATTAAAATGAATTTAAATACTATTTTGCCTAAAGCTCTACATTATTATTATTATTATTATTACCATTATTATTATTATGTTTTAATTTTATTATTCAAATGGCCAAATTCTGACTGAGGAATGTTGAATGTGCTGGCCAGTTTGTTATTTGCGTAATAGGCCACAGTTTTTAATTTAAAACTTTACCAGATTCCTATTTTTTCTAATGATGTAAAATGATACACTTGTATTTTAAAAATAAGAGTTTATTCATGTTTCTTTGTTCTAAATGTTTTTGGTACATCAAAACATATGGTTATGATGACCACCGACAACCATATCCAGCTAAAAATAGTGCTTAAAATAAAAAAATGCAGTATTTATATCTCAAAATTAAATAGAAAATAAGGCGAATAACCTCAAAAAGGTCCACTTTTTGGGAAAAAGGAGCCACCCCTTTCACCAGGCTGGCTACAGGCCTGGATTGGGGGGCCATTATGGACAAAGGCCAGTAGGCAAATTTGACCAGGAGGCCGGGGTTAAACCCCTACTCTTTTTCGAAGGACATTCTGGGATTTTAAATGGCCACAGAGAGTCAGGACCCCGGTTTAACGTCTAATCTGAAAAGCTACGCACACTGAGCAGTATAGAGTCCCTGTCACTATACTGGGGTGTTAGGACCCACACAAACCACAGGTTGAGCGCCCCCTGCTGGTCGCACTAACATCACTTCTAGCAGCAATCTAGCTTTACTATGTGGTCCAATAGTATCTGGATGCAGCCTTTATGATGCAAGCTGAGACTGCATCACTCAGCGATGCAATCTCAGACACAATGCACTCAATGGAGTGAGTGACGTCACTGTGACGGGTAGGGTTAGGGCTGGGGTTAGGTAAGCGCATTACAAAGCATTGGATGCAGCTCAGAGTGCACTGCATCAGGTCTGCATCCAGACCCCTCTCATGTGGTCTCCCATCCAGGTACTGACCAGGTGCAGCCCTGCTTGGCTTCAGTGGGCGACTATATGAGTGCAGACAGCTAGCCGCCAACATTATGGTGTGTTGATCTTCTGAGGTTGAAAATTCAACTCTGCGGTTTAACAAAGTGACTTTAATTGACATTTTAGTCAGTTGAAATAATATCTAGAGGTCTGTAAAATAACAGAAATTGTACTGGCGGGTGATTACAAGGTTTTTGTAGCGTAATATACAACACAATATATCACTTTAAACCAGTGGTTCTCAAACTGTGGTACATGTACATGTTACTTCTAGTGGTACGCGGAGGAATCACTGAGTAATGAAAGAAAAAATGAATACAATTTTAATCATTTGATGCGTTCGATAACACCGATGTGATCAGCATTGGCTGTTCTCTAAAGCCTACAATCAACGCACTTTGCTTAAAATGTTTATTTTAGCACATCGCGTCATCAGCTGCTAAAAATCAAGAAAGAAAGAAAGAAAGAGGTGCGTGGTGCTTGCAGAGCAGATACGCGCTAGAGCAGTGGTCCCCAACCCTCGGGCCACACACCGGCACTGGTCTATAGATCAATTAGTACTGGGCCGCACAAAAAAAATCATTAATTATTTCTGTTTTATTTATTATCTGAGTCTGAACGATCATTTACTTTGAAACATTTTTTTATTTAGAAAAATGACCATATTCTTTTGTTACATCTCGGTCACTTAAGCATCAAAATTGAACCCACATGCAAGCAAAATGAGTAGAAACTTTAGCACGACGCGCTCGTGTATTCCAGGCGTACCTAGTTGAAAACATCTTAACTTTTCAGAATGCCGCTCCGCCAGTCACGTGGTCAAGTTGTCAAATTGTACAAATATGAATATGCTTCGTTTTCAAACTGTGCAGTGCTGTAGCTGCTTAATTTGGCCAACTATGCTACTTAATTTCAATACTGGTCATTTTGGTGGTACTTGAAGAGACCTTTTTTTTTTGAGGTGGTACTTGGTGAAAATAGTTTGAGAACCACTGCTTTAAACTATTAAAAATGTTAATACAAGTCATTTTTATCAACTTTTCAAGGTCACATAATATAATTGAAAAGCAGAAATAAATAAAAAAATAAAAACATGAATCACACAATAAAGAAAACTGCTTATTTAAGGACTTTTTTCACAGTGTGAGAGTCAGATCGCACATAATTAAAACATTCAAACAAAATTCGGTCGTGCATTCTAGACAATAAATATTGCACAACACTAATTCAAAATCAAGTTTTCCCTGAAGATTCACTAAAGGTGGAGTGTGCAGAGCTTAAGACCACAAGAGTTTATGCATACTGGCCTGTCGGATCTCTGATAGAGGCACTTGGTTGTTTGAGAGCAGCATGGGAGTCAAAAAAAAAAGCATCCTCCGGGTCTAAAAGCAGAGTCTTCATTGCCTCCGGCTGAACTGGACATCTGGATGTTAGTATCCGGCTGCGTATCCTCCCTTTCGGGGGTCTGACTCAGCGCTGAGACCCTCACTGTACCGTGCTACAGCCTGAACCACTGCGCCCATAGAAGTGAAGACTTCTGTGAAATGATTCTTCTCAGCAAGACCCTCCAAAACAGCCTGTGGGTTGAACAGTGAGTGGGTTGAACGTTGCCAAAAAGCACAGAACAAAAAAAAAATCAAGAAAGAGGTTGATGGTTACTAAAACACTGAGAAAAATGAATGTAGAGAAGTTCGATTCAAGTGAAAACAAGGACCAAACTTGTGAATTCAAAGAAAAGCCTCTGTTATTATTTTTATATACAGTGTTTGTGTATTTAGTCACAAATTAACTACACTGTAAATAAAATCTTGCTGCACTAAATTTGTTTAATTAAAATTAACTTTTCTGGTTATCTCAACTTACATCAGTCAAACTAAAATATTAAGTTCAACTTTGCATAACTTAAAAGAAATTCAGTCGAAACCAGATTAACGTATTTAAATAAGTTAAAGCAGGGGCGCAGTGGGCAGCACAATCGCCTCACAACAAGAAGGGCGTTGGTTCGAGCCTTGGCCGGGTCAGTTGGCATTTCTGTGTGGAGTTGGCATGTTCTCCCCGTGTTGGTGTGGGTTTCCTCCGGGTGCTCCAGTTTCCCCCACATTTGGTGTCGGTGAATTGGGTATGCTAAAAAAGAACATGCAAACTCCACACAGAAACGCGAACTGGGCCAAGGTTCGAACCAGCGACCTTCTTGTTTTGAGGCGACAGTATTAAGTTTAAATCATAAAAATTCAAATCAATAAAACAAACTATGGAGAAAATGAATGAGCTTTACCTGACTGTTTTGCTCTATATCGTAAATCTATTATAAAGCTTTTAGATATTGTAAAGCGCATCATATAAATACAGCATCATTTAACCTGACTAGTTAAGAACTGATAAGTTTGAGTACATTGTAATAATACCTTTTTTTTTTTTTTTAGGCGCCTTTCAAAGCACTCAAGGACACCTTACAGCAGATTACAAGCACATCATAAAAATACAAGCAGTAAAAATGACAATCAGCATAAAATTAAACCAGCAAATCATTAAAAGCTATCCTAAACAAAAACGTCTTTATCTGAGATTTAAAATTGGAAATAGAGTCCATCTGGCGAATGTGCAAAGGCAGGGAATTCCATAACTTTGGTGCTGTACAACTAAAAGCCCTGCCTCCAAATGACTTCATCTTAAAGTGTGGGACAGATAACAGTTCAGCAGAAGATGATCTCATTGAGCGTGAAGGAGTGTACAATTTAAGAAGATCAGAAAGATAGTAAGGGGCCAGGTTATGAAGAGCTTTGTATGTTAAGAGGAGGATTTTGTATTGTATACGATAGTGAACAGGAAGCCAGTGCAGGTGAAAGAGAATTGGAGTTATGTGATCAGAAGTACGCGAGCAGGTGACTATCCTAGCCGCTGAATTCTGAATCAACTGTAGTCTATGAAGTTGTTTATCAGGAATACCAAAGAGAAGCGAGTTACAGTAATCAATCTGTGATGTAACCAAAGCATGAACAAGCACTTCAGAACTTTGTTGAGATAGTGAAGGGCGAAGTCTTGCAATGTTACGCAAATGAAAAAAGGCAGAACGTGAGATATTACTAATTTGAGAACTAAATGAGAGCATGCCATCCAGTATAACCCCAAGACTTTTCACGTGGGTTGAGAAATTGACTGGGGAGTTATCAACAAACAGGGTAAAAGATTGAGCTTTGGATAAAACAGATTTTGAGCCAACCAAGAGGGCTTCGGTTTTACTGGCATTTAACTTTAAGAAATTATTAGTCATCCATTTATTAATCTCATTTAGACATTTGGTAAGGTCAGAAGAAACAATATCACAATTGTTTATTATTGTAGCCATAATAAACAATTGTGATATGAACCAGTAAAACAATCGCCGACAACTCAGAGCACATGTTTATTACCTCAGCCATTCCTTATCTTATCATATCCCTGAAAACTGAACGTGCATCCATTACTGAACTCACCTTGTCAAAGCTCTGCTCCACCTGCGTGGTGTTTGGACTGAGCTGATTGTGAACTCTTGCTTCTGCTATTGCTTTCTTCAGATCGTATTGGAAGAACAGAGTGTTTAATACCACCTGTGCAGAAAAAAACAACATCCATAATATTTTAAGGTGATAAAGTCTGAACTAAGCTATTTTGATAAACAACTAAGACTGAAACTATTGGCCAAAAACAGTGTTATTGACAAAACAACAACAACAAAATGCACAATACTGGCCTGTTTTCACTGAATAGTACAGTACGGTACAGTACGGGCCATGGTTTCCACTGTGTACCATTAGTACCCTTTTGGTGGGCGTGGTGGAATACAGAAAGATTCAGTAGATGTCATTTTTACTCACATAAATGTCAAAGTAAAGCTGTACGAGTCGTTCACATATAAGAGAAGCACTTCTCACAAAACAGATGCTTTATACCAGGGGTGGCCAACCCTGTTCCTGGAGAGCCACCTTCCTACAGATTTTAGCTGCAACCCATATTAAACACACCTGCCTGTAATTATCACGTGGTGTTCAGGTCCTAATTAATTGGTTCAGGTGTGTTTGATATAGGTAGCAACTGAAATCTACAGGAAGGTGGCTCTCCAGGAACAGGGTTGGCCACCCCTGCTTTATACATACAAATGCTTGTGTATATAAATGTTCATTACCAACCTTTCTATAAACATGATTTGATTATAACCGCAGATCAATGTGAAATAGCCTACTGTAACGTCTGTAATTATATTAAATAAATAAATACAACATTTATGAACACATACACACTCTTATAGTCTCCGATAAGTTACTATTTACAGAAAAACTACACACAGCGTACATTTAGTCCTTATTTTCATAACCCACAGTCAGTGCAAACCTCTCATCTGCGTCTGTAATCTTCAGCAGCACATGTAAACTCTGTTAGAGAGTCATTCCGAGTTCATAATAATCCAAAAGGCGATGATAATAGTTAAACATGACAGTTTGATCATGTTTTAGGTTGCAGAAAGAACAGTTTGGTCTTACGAGGAAATAGTAAGTATTTTACGTTTTGTTAGTTTATTGGCTAATTCATACGTGTATTCGTATTGAACTGTTCAGTACGAGACTTTCGGTTCGGTACGCATTACAAACCAAACGATTCAGATTAATATCTAAAAAGATAAAAAAGAATAAGTACAAAATCTAATGTTTTCAACGCTCAACATGGCATCCCAAATGGCGTGACAGGCAACATGCCTTCCCTGCCTACCTCCAAACAATACTCCAGTCAGGCAAACACTGCACTAACTCGAAAAATGGCTATAACGTTAATGTAATCCTCCTATAACCAACAGCGGGTCTGGCGTTTGAGAACACATTTATAGCTGTGGGTATGAGACAGGGCTCAAAATTGTGATCGTTTTGGTCGCATATGTGCCCGACGTCAAAATACATTTGGGAGTGCATAAAATTGATGTCGTGTGGTGGGTGGGACGGAGTTTTCAGGTAACAGTGTTTGCCACTGAATCTACACATTTTAAGCACGAGATGTTCTGACATTATTTAATCCTTCATTTAATCACGATGCTGTCAATCGTGCGACTGATACCACGTTCACCATCGCTAAAGAGCATGCATTCACTGAGATGAAACTAATATTGCAGCTCATGAAAAGACCATTACTGCTATTAAGCTGACTGTGGCGAGGGGGCGGCGGGGCCAAGAGCCGTGGGAACGGAATGAGGCCGCTGTGTTAGTGAATACACCTGTTGTGCTCCGGCTTCGAATTCCACGAAAGGAGCTCTGGACTATAAGAGGAGGAACGATGGCAGAGGAAGCCGAGAGAGGACCGGGCACAGACATGTTGTTTTACTTTTGCTTTCAGTTTGACAGCAGTCTCCGTGAGGAGTTGCTATCCGTTTTTTTGTAGTTTAGTCTCACGGAGACTGCCGTCCCTGTTATTAATAAATATTGTAAAACTGCGTCGGTTCTCCGCCTCCTTCTTCCCGGAAGCCAAAGGGTCGTAAACTTCATCACAATGATGTATGCAAATAATAACTTATATGTCAATATCATCTGTGCAATATCAGACAGCACCTGTGAGAACACAGCACAATTATAGTTAACTACTAATAGGGCCGGTAAATTAAAATCAGAGAAATCTTCTGGCTTTTTTCTTATTTGCTGTATCGAAAACAATACAAACCGTGACACCACTGTGTCATATCGAACCGAACTGTGATTTTTGGGAACCATTACACTCCTAATATATATAAGATTTAATATATAAGAAATATCCTGATTGGGGGGTAACGTCCAATTTTGAGTCTGAAACCGCGTGATCAGACCCAATTTCTGATCACGTGATCGGATCTAGACATCCCTAATAACAATATCAACAGCAGGCACTCGTTTACAATACACAGCTGGTTCAGTGGTTGCCTAGCGACATAAAGAACGCAGCGCACTTCTATTTTTCTTGTCAGCGCCTTCTTCTGAGCCACTTTTTTGACATTTTCAGTTTTTCAGACGACTGAAATGAAGTGAAAACCCACCTGAGCCACTGCTGTGGTGATCTTTGTCCCTCCAGATGCTCCCACCACCATCTTAACCTGATTGTTTTTGTCCAGCAGGATTGCAGGACACATTGAAGACATGGGCCTTTTATCTGAGAAGCAAGAGATTCATTCAGATTCATGATTGTGGATAATAAAGTAATGGAAACTGTATAGTATGTGCAGTATACTTGCTTAATGTTTGTGAAAATTAGAGTTTAAGCAACATAATGTAATGATAAGATCTATGAGTATCTTTATTCATTCATTCCTTTTTCCTTAGCTGAGTCGCTTATTTAACAGGGGTCACCACAGCGGAAAGAACCGCCAACTATTCCAGCATTTGTTTTACACAGCGGAGGCCTTTCTAGCTGCAACCCAATACTGGAAAACACCCATACACTCTGCCATTCACTTACACACTCATACACTACAGCCAATTTAGTAAACTAAATTCCCCTATAGCGCACGTCTTTAGACTTGTGGGGTGACCCGGAGCACCCGGAGGAAACCCACGCCAACACGGGGGAGAACATGCAAACTTCACACAGAAATGCCAACTGACCCAGCCGGTACTCGAACCAGCGAACTTCTTGCTGTGAGGTGACAGTGCTAACCACTGAGTCACCGCACCACCCAGTATCATTATTCTAAAAGGTGATCATTTCCACTGGCTTAAATTAGGAGCGAAATACAATTATTTAATACTTTTACACTTAAAAACTAATTATTAGAGTAGTCATTTTGAATATTTGATCCTACATCTTGTTTACTATTTCTACAAATTGCCATTTAAACTGAAGTTTTAAATAAATTAATATTATTTTTTTTAAATCTCACTATTGTAAAAAATCCAACCCAGACTTATACTGATCATGTACCCCTATATATATTTCTGGAAAGTGCCAAATACATCCCTGGAGGTACATTTCTGCAGCTTTTGTTTTCATAAATCCACCAGAGGCCACTGTGTACTTTCTTTTAAATCTCAAATTCCTCTGGCGAGTGCCATTAGCAAATGATATTCTCGACTGTCTGACTAATTGACTGACCCACCCTCCTCCTTCCCTAAACCCAACCTTAAGTGTTTTCAAAAGCACAGATTGACCTGCCCACTTATATCTCCAAACCCAACCCATAGTGTTTTCAAGAGCAATCCTGAAAAAGAAAAGCCCTCTCCTGAGTTTTACCACGTTTTTCAAATTTCCCACATTCTCACCCTGTCATTTATTTTTTTAATTTTATTTTCTGACTTAACTGCTTTCTAGAACTGGTCTTTGCCAAACTCATCAAATATAACGTTAGGTCAGCTGGTAATCACAAAAGGGAACGGTGTCATACCGCCCCGTAGCATTTGTTTTAAAGATAAATACGACCATATGTAGCTCTGGCTACATAAATCACGATCTCCAGAAACGTATATAGGGCTATGTTTTCAGAAAGAGCCTATGTTGGAAAAATCCCTGTTAAAGTTGTAAAACATTTAAAAATATGTAAATTTATTACTAATAAAAAATTCAGATTTGATATATATTAACAATAAGACATTTAAATAAGCTTAAATAATCAAAGATGATCATTTTCTAATGATTTTTGGCATAAAAAACAATTACAATGGATTATTGGATATTACTAAAAAATAACTATGCAACTTAAACTGATTGTTCACATTTGAGCTATGAATTGTAACGTGTAGCTCTTTTACAGTTGTAATATAGGTGTAGACATCATAATAAATACAAGGAGTTAGCTAAAAGTGACATATTCTTACTAGCCTCTGTTGATTTTTAGTATATATACAGTAAGAGCAGTATTATGCTGTTCACACCAGACGCGGTATTCGCGGATATGTTGCGCTATTTGTGCGTAAATAAACAAGTGAACATTTTGAGTTTACTCGCTTCATTCGTGCGTCAAATCCGCTTCATTCTAACATCAAATTCACTAGGTAATAGACAAGAATTTGCATAATGGGCGTGGCTTCTGTCTGCCCGGAGACTGTAGCCTCGTTGCTAACATGGATTTTATTGAGAAAGTAGCTGTGCTTTATCTGCTTTAGGAAGGCTGAAAAAGTGTTGATTCATTTGGATCCGTGTCTCAGTTTGAAGAACTGTTGTCTGGTGTCGGCGGGAGGATTTTCCCCCGGGACACCAACAACAGGCGCCACGTCATAAGCACGCCCCTACAAAAGAAAGCTCCTGATTGGTTAATGTGGCTCCTGATTGGTTTCCAACTCGAGTGATACGCGCGAAAAGCACAAAAAATCAATTGCATAAATGCTTAATTCGTGCCACTTCATTCACGCCGCATGAAGTCAATTCGTCTCTTTGCATTAACTTAACATACAAATCACTCACGCTTGACCATTCGTCCGTGTCTGGTGTGAACGCAGCATTAGTATACTAGCGTGCTATTGCTAATGCCGTGATCATGTTTCCTCACTTGGGACAATGAAGTTGTTTGGAGAAGGAGGAACTCCAAAGTTGTTGGTGATCAACGGAGAGCTGAAGTCGTCCATCTCGTTGTTCAGTAAAATACCTGTCGACTTTGACATCAACTTTGAGCCAAAGCTGGAGGAAGAGAAAGACATCACAAAACATTCATTTTCCTTCAGCTTAGTCCCTTATTTATCAGCGGTCGCCACAGCGGAATAAACCGCCAACTATTTTGGCATATGTTTTACGCAGCGGATGCCCTTCCAGCTGCAACCCAGAACTGGGAAACACCCATACACATTTACCTTATTCACACACACTCATCCAATTTAGTTTACCCAACTCTTGCTGTGACTACCGCATAATTCAGCCACAATATTCTAAGCCACGCCCCTCATACTGTTAGTTTGCTAAGAGGGAATGATGTGCAAAAAGAAAGCCCCGCCCCCTACTCAATATTCCATTTCAATTAAAAGTACATCAACACAATGAAATAAAAGTATTTTAATTCCCGCTGACTTTAACTCACTATGTATTGATGGTGCTGGTAGCGGCGACCGCACTGCCGTCCTCCGCCACCACCGACACATGTGATGTACCGTAGTTTTCGGGAAGGTAAAACTCGGGCTCGTAGTAGCTCTCCTGCTGCGTGCTGTTATCTGTGATCTTGAGGCGGATCATGTCAGCGTAGCCTTTGGAGGTGATGTTCTGGATGAACTGAGAAGCAGGAGGAAAGCAGATCATTACTGCGGCACAATAACCTACAGTGGATCAAACGGCCGGCGCTCAATAGCACGCTATTTTCATGCTCTGTGATTAGTGCGAGATTCAATGACGGCTTTGATCACAGCTGACAGAGAGAGAGATAGAGAGAGAAGGAGAAAGAGGTGAACGTGTGTCGATCTGAACAGCTGATGGAGATTTATTTTTACATTCACATAATGCATTTACACTGTGCCTTAGAGATTCTACTCTACCTATTGTTTTTCATAGTAGATATTAGAGCCATAAGTTCATTGTTTCATTTATGCTAAATTAATAATAATGTAAAAAGCAAACTTGAAAATATTTTACTAAAAGTAATTTAATTTTTAATATAAAGTATATGCTGATGTCACTTCCGGTAAGGAAGAAGTTGTGTCATGAAGATGGAAGCAAGACAGTTTTTTAACCGTGTAATATAGGTCAGTTAAGTTGTTATTAAACATGTTCGAAACGACATCACTGGACTGTCTTATGTTACCCGCATTCAAATCCTGCTAATTCAAAGAGAGAAACAAGACAAGAAGAGACGGATTGATGGCACATACAGTAGGAAACAAAAACTATGCAAGTCAATGGCTAGCAGTTTGTAACATTCTTCAAATTATCTTCTTCTTGCTCAAAATTGAAAGTCTTGTTGCCTATCCACGTTTTAGAAACAGCAAATAATAACTTGACTTCTAGTTGATCATTTGGTATCAGAAGTGGCTTATATGAAAGGCTGTGTCAAACATATGCTGGTAAGTCGGCAGTTCATTCTGCTGTGATGACCCCTGATGATTAAAGTGACTAAACTGAAGGAAAATTAAAGGATGAATGTTCAGTTTCAGTGTTTGCATACTGCACTTTGCTTTTGTACATGACTTACGTCAGAGATGTTGAGGAACTGCGGATCCCCCAAGACGCTCCTCTTAGCATAGGCGAAACGAAATGCCTCTACTACCCGATGATAAGTGAGGATTTTCTTCTCAGTGGAGGAGACACTGTCTGGACTTAAGGAATAACCTGAGGAAAAACAACAACAGCCCGGTCACACAAAATACGAATGAATAAGTCTAATAATCCTTTAACTTTAGTATAATGTTGTTATATAAGCAAAATAAAGTTTATGTTAATTAATCTTAGGTCAGCTGTCCTAACCAGCACCTGAAATGTATATTTAGAAACGGCTTCCATTTTTTGCAACTGAACAACAAAACACTTAATGACATTATCACCTCAGGATCACCTCATGTGCTTTATTCAGTGTTAAATGCTAATAATGTGAGCTTGAATGCCATTTTACATGACATTTATTGCCATACTACTGAAAGCAGCAGCAGATAGTTCACCTCAGATCCTGAAAATAAAATAAACTGTTTGAAATTGAGCTTTAGAACTGGGATTCAGTGCAAACCAACACATATCAGTGATTCAGCATCTACATTTAATAATGTTAAAGAGGTTCAATATGTATTAATTAGATTATAAATCTTACCATTTCATGAGTGAGTGCATATGCTGTGCTTCTCAATGGCTGTATTTAAATTTCTGTCATGTTTCGTTCAGTGCAAACAGTCAAACTGCTAATCACTGCATATCTCCTCACATAGCGTGTTGTTAGGACACGGGGTTACAATGTAACCTGCATACTTAGGGCCCTAACATACAACCGACGCAATGCGATGCAAGGCGCAACGCAATTGTTGTTTGCTAGTTTTAGCTCGTCGCAAGTGTCATTTTGACGTTTTGCAGAACGCTGTTTAAATAGCAAATGCATTTGCGCTCACATGTGCGTCCATAGGCATTCTGGTCTAAAAAAGGAGGCATGTTAAGGCGCGTTGCTGGTGCGTGTGTAACGGAGGCCAGCTAGTGTGTGCTGTGCAGGTAAACTCACTCCTCTGACCTCTAAAGGTGTTGTAGCGACAGACGCTAGAGGCCAATCTTTAGCCTCCTTGGTAGAGCAACCGCCTCCCATGCGAAAGGACGTAGGTTTGATACCAGCTCGGAGCGAGTTGGGTGGTGTAGGACCAGCGAGGTTACATTGGTGCCATGACCCGGATGGGAGTGAGTTTTATGGGGGTGATTGTAACGGAGGCCAGCTAGTGAGTGCTGTGCAGGTAAACCTCATTCCTCTGACCTCTAAAGGTGCTCTAGCGACAGTTGCTAGAGGCCAAGGTCTTTAGCCTCCTTGGTAGAGCAACCGCCTCCCATGCGGAAAGATGTAGGTTCGATACCAGCTCGGAGCGAGTTGGGTGGTGTAGGACCAGCGGGGTTACACGTGGCTATTTTGAGGAACTAAAATAGACTGCCTAATGTTTAAATTCCTAATATTTATATTATTTGCTAATTAATAATCCCCTCATTGGAACTCTGAGGGCCCTATTATACACATGGCGCAATGTGGCGCAAGACGCAACGCAATTGCTATTTGCTACTTTTAGCTCGGCGCAAGGGTCATTTTGAGGCATTGCGCCACACTGTTTAAATAGCAAATGCATTTGCTATCATATGTGCGCCCATAGGCGTTCTGGTCTAAAAAAGCGGGCGTGTTTTGGCACGTTGCTATTTTGAGAAACTGCAAATAGTCTGATCTTTAGACCAGAACAAAGTCGGTCTATTGTCTGGCGCAAAGTGCGCCTGGCTTACACACTACACACAAGATGTAGAGCAATACGCACATATCTTTACATATGAAAAAGATATAATATCTTAAAGATATATATAATAAGGATATATACAGGATATAAATATAAATGATTAAAATATTACAAAACATATTAATTTCTAGCCTACATGAATTTTAAAACACTGCCTTACTTTTTTCATCTCGGGAGGCTTTTTCAGTTCATTCAATTTGCTTTTGTGTAATGTTATTATTATTAGCAGTATTATTTATCATATCCATATTTATATTTGTTCTATTAAAAACAAGCTTAGATTTGTCCACCTGTCAGACCATATGGGGCAAAGCAGGTGTATTTGGAAATAACTCAGTATTTTGAGCACACTTCGTTATTATTGTTCATTTATTCATTTGCTGGAAATTAGAACTGAATTAAGAAATAGTTTTGAAACAAATCTTTGCGATTAACAAACGAAATTAATTATTTATAGGCTAATTGATGTCTGTGCGGTAAGGTTTCCCTATCCACGAGAGCAAAAGCGAAAGAGAACTTATTTTACGTCATGTTAATAGCAAATGCGCTTATGGCACGTCGCAGCTGGCTCTTAAAGGGAATGGGAGATGAGACACTAATTGGTTTATTCTCAAAACACACCTATAACTCATTAAGAAAATAAACTCAACACGCCCTGAAAGCGTTTGTGCCCTGCGCTTTGTGTTTTGTGCATGGACCATCAAAATAGAGCCCTGAATCTGCGTCTCATTTCGGAGTCTGCTACTGTCCACCGGAGGGCGCACTTCAGTCAAGGGCGCATTCTTGGAGAGCCTTTATGTGTAAATGAATGAAATACATGGTTTTCCATCAAGGCAATTCAGAGTGCTGAAATATAATTGGCTAAACTGGCAGTGGACGGCTAAAATAACCGAAACAATGACAGACATTCTAGCACGGAAAGCACATTTTTTAAAGCAGAATATCTGACTTCAGCATTATTTTTCAGATAAACAAGAATCTTTATGTCACGATTACCGGCGATCGTCTTCCATAAGGTCGCTGAATTTCACTAAAAATAACCATGGACTACAAATCCGCCATTTCTGGACTACATTTTCATAAATGCACTCCGGTTACACTCACACATGCTTCCTCATTAGACTGATTACTCGCACCACCTGAGGATTGTCAGAGACTGATTGCACACACTATTTAAGCAGCACACTCACTCACTCACATGGCTGAGTCTTGTTTATCTTTAGATGACATTACAACGCGTTACTCCTGTCTAGTTTTCCTGTGTTTCAACCTAGCCTTGTATTCTTGTTCTCCCTGCCTGCCGCCTGCCTTTTTGACCTCTCGCTAGTTACCGATTACGATTCTGGATTGTCCTCACACACCTGCTTGCACCGGTGTTGACCATTGCTTGCCTGACTACGAATAAACCTGCATTTTGGTTGCTACCTCAGTTGTATGTGTCACTCCCCGTGGTTACACTTTACCTAGCATATTTCTTAAATATCTGCAAACATATTATGTTAATTTTATGCTTTAGAAGAGTCAAAATCTTATGTACAGCACCTTTAAAAATGAAACAAAATCAAACTATGAAGCATATAAAATAAATAAAAGCTTATTCAAAATATAAATTGAAAACATTATATTAATTTTTAAGCTATTATTTTAACTCTAATCAACTGACCCACTTTAGCGTCAAAAAAATCCTCTGATTTCCTCAGCTCATTCATGCCAGACACGTCTAAAATAAATGAACAATAATGAGCGATTCAGCAAGGAAGTAGTTTCATATCTTCTGCCCACAGCTATATTACGAAGTAAAAAAAAAAGCGAGCGCTAACAGTGTTTATCGACAGCCGTGGCCTGTCTGGCAGCGACTTAATGACTAAATATCTGATCAGTGAAGCCACCGAGTGGGTGTTTGAGAAAGGAGCAAGGCACAGAGTCCGGCGCTGATGAATCTCAGACGACAAGCGGCTTCAGAGTTTCCCCGCTGGAGGACACCCAAAGCAAAAGGGTCGCAAACACACACCGACCGCATGGATTTTTTTTCCATGCTTGGTTTGTGTCCAATTAGTGGCAAACAGCCCACGTTAGCGTTGTGTGGGAGACAGCAGGACGAGTGGCCGAGTGAAGGGTGGAGGGATTTTAATAGCTCATGGACGATGCGGAGAAGAGTTTTATCCTCGCCTGACAGCGATGCGCATGAGGAAATTATTAAGTGCAATGAAGATTGATTAATGATGCTTCTGTAATTCAACATCAATTGGAAGCTTTTGAAAAGCATGACATTTTGTGAGGATTATTTTGTGGCTAAAAAGTATTGGTTCAGGCACCGTTTTGGCACCAGTACACTGTAAAAAATAAATCCGTAAAATTAACTGAAATTGCAAAGTCTATAATAACATTCAGGTTTTAAATAAATACAGTACAAAATAAATAATGTTTACTTTTAGTTGTATATATTAAGGGTGTAATGATACGCGTATTCGTATTGAATTGATTCGATTCAGACTAATATCTAAAAAGATAAAAGGGAATAAGTACAAAATATAATGTTTTCAGTGCAACAACGCTCAACATGGCAAATAAAATAATACAACAAAACACAACTGAAACCCACAAACTCTAAAGAAAAAAAAGTCTACCAAGTTTTCACACCCTACACTGTAAAAAATAAATCCGTAAAATTTACGGTAAAAAAACGGCAGCTGTGGTTGCCAGTACTTTACTGTTAAAAACACAGGACAAACCGCAAAAGTAATTTCTCGTTTTTACGGTAAACTACCGTATTTTATAAGTTTAAAGAGGTAATATGTCTGTATTTTGAATGACCAACATTTACACATCTTTTGTTACACAGTTAGACACGTTAGCACACCCACATTCAGGTGATGATGAGGAAGTTACATAATGACCCAATGCTCATCACAATCAACTTTTCCCACAAGCAGAAAAGAGTATCGGCATATAGAAAGTGCTCAGTATCATTCACACAGCTACTAAACACCAGTATGGTAACACGCATAAAATTAAAGTCATGAAATAAACATTGTTTATCAACATTAGATGTAACATAAATCTCTAATGTGCATAACTGATAGGGAAACAACTAAAACGATCCATATTAATGTCAATAAAATGCATAAAAAGTGATGTGCCATGCAAGGAATTCTGGGAAAGTCAATTTACGGTTATTCGCCGTATATATTAAGGCAACATACCGTTAACCAGGTTACGGATTTGTACTGTAGCATTTTTACAGTTTTTTACCGTTGAAATCACTGCCATTTTTTACAGTGCACCGTTTTAAAAATATCGATTTAGCATCGGCATTGAAATAACCCCAAACGATATCCAACCCTACCTCAAAATATGTGCACTTTATAATTGCAGCAAACTGTTTGGAAGCATTACAAATGTACAAGATGTCCAAAATCTTTACATGCATTGACCCCGAGACTGTTAAAATGCAAAGATGACTGATGAAAAGATGACAGATGTTTACTGTATGATGATCAAAATGGCCTTAAACATCCAGCAGGCACAAGATGTCAACATGACGTCAGAATGAAGTTGTACCCCAGTGTCATGGGGATGTTGCATTTTGTTTTTCCATGAAAACCATGGAAGTGTCAGCATGTGATGCCAAAATGACGTTAGATGTTTGCTCGACATTGGATTTTGGTCACTTTCCAACACAACCTAAAGTCAACTAAATATCAACGTCATTTGATGTTGTTATTGAACAAATAACGTTGTCCTTAGACGCTGGCTAGACAATCTAACCCAGGGGTCGGCAACCCGCGGCTCTAGAGCCGCATGCGGCTCTTTAGCGCTGCCCCAGTGGCTCCCTGGAGCTTTTTCAAAAAATGTTTAAAAACGGAAAAAGATGCGGGAGGTAAATATATTTTTGTTTTAATATGGTTTCTATAGGAGGACAAACTCCTAACGTATCTTAACGTTTTCCAATGCTGTAAAAGTGTGTAGAATATTTCTTTTCAACATTTCTGTCAACGAAGAATTGCGTCATAGCCTGCGACACACGGAATAGGCAGGTGGCTGTTGTAAACTATCCGGCGGCTGTGTGATGCGCCATGGAGCGTAAGCTGTCTTTGCCAAAGATGTACAGCGGGGCACGCTCTCTCATTTTCCCTCCCTGAGAGAATTCAAAGAAGCCCATCCCGATCACTCACTCAACGGTGATTATTTACAAGGTGCGATCGTTGATATGCAAACTGCATTTGGGAGCAGATTTTGCGAGTGGCGAAAGGAAAAAACGAGACTGTCTTTCCTTGACACACACCCCTGGAGATTGACCCTTCCTTGTTGAGCACATTCCAGTAAGGGGCAAGTTATGCACGTTCATTTTGATGTTCTTTTTTGGAATCCTCAAAATAAAAAAACATCAAAAATCTGATTTCTTTACTGCATTTCTTTAATTTCATCAAAGCAAAACATGATGCATTAATATTGTAATGAAGTTAAACTTTAACATTAAACATAATTCATTACTATTGTAATGAAGTTAAACTCGAAAATTAAACATAATGCATTAATATTGTAATTAAGTTAAACTTGAGACGGCATCGTACAACAGAGTAGTCACGTGGCGCGTCATTCTCTACAGGATGCACTGCAGGGAAATGAACATTTAATCATGAAGGCTCAGTATGTATTTGTAGCCAACTAAATCATTTTTATAGTAGGCTAATATAGCTAATATAAATACATACAGCATGTGTTGCCTTCATTATGAGGCTTATATAAGGCTTTTAATTTTTTGCGGCTCCAGACATATTTGTTTTTGGTTTTTTTGGTCCAGTATGGCTCTTTCAACATTTTGGGTTGCCGACCCTGATCTAACCTAATGTTAATGTCTTATGATGTTGTGTACCTGCTGGGCGATAACTCGATGCACTACAGAATGTTACGTTTACACACACAGGCACAAATTACATGTAAACGCATCAGCTTTTCACAGCGTAATACTCACTGCTCACTACTCTTGAGAACTTTTGACATGTCTACTTTTTACTCCTACTTTGAGTAATATTAAGAAGAGATACTTTTACTCTACTTACACTACATTTTTAGGCAAGTAATGGTACTTTTACTTGAGTATGATTTTTCAGTACTCTTTCCAATACTGCTTACAGATATAATTGCACCACAAATCTGCATGCAACATATCATGCTTTGAGTGCACACATTAAACATTTTTGGAGCAAAAGATCATGTTTTGACCACGCAAAATGGCAGAGATGAGGGACTCGAGTCACATGACTTGACTCGATTTAGACTTAAGTCACAAAATTTAGGACTTGAGACTTGCTTGACAAATATCCAAAAAAGACTTGGACTTGACTGTCATGACTTGAGACTTGACTTGGACTTGAGTTAAATGACTCTAAAAAACTTGCTTTTGTTAATAACACAACCGTTTGTTATATATTAAGGATTTAAAAACACAACAAAACCGAAAGTAACGCATGTGCAGTATTAACAGCTCACCGGTTCTGAGATCAGTCTGAAAGAATCAGTTGTATTTGCTGGATGTATATACAACAAGCCAGTTTGCGCGCTTAAAACATGATCTTTTGTGAGCAGTATAGTTAACACACATGCAACAAGCCATTTTGAGCACTCAAAAATGTATATTATGTGCGCAAAATGGTTATCGCACATCAATAAGTCGGTTTATGCACTCCAAACATGATCTTTTGCGTGCAAAATGTTTAATGCACATCAACAAGCCATTTTGCACGCTCAAAACATGATCTTTTGTGTGCAAAACTGTTCAAATATATACAACAAGTCATTTTGTGAGTTTAAAACATAGGGCTCTATTTTGACGGTCCATGCGCAGAGCGCAAAACGCAGGGCGCAAACACTTTCAGGGCGTGTCAAAACGCATTTTTGTTAATTTAAGAACAGGAAAATCCGCTTTGCACCTTGGCGCATGGTCTAAAAGGGTGGGGTTTATTTTCTTAATGAGTTATAGGTGTGTTTTGAGAATAAACCAATTAGAGTCTCATCTCCCATTCCCTTTAAGAGTCAGCTGCGTCACGCCAAGAGTGCATTTGCTATTTACATGACGCAAAGTAAGTCTAAGTGGAAAAAATGAGCATTTCACAAGCAAACAGTTAACATTTTTTTTACAGAAAACTGTTAAACAGAGCATCTACTGCGTGAGAATGAGAGATAATGGATCACTTTCACATTCGCTCTTGGATAGGGAAACCTTTACGCACAGACATCAATTAGTCTATAAATAAATAATTTTGTTTGTTAAGCGCAAATATTCGTTTCAAAACTATTTCTAAATTCAGTTCTAATTTCCAGCAAACGAATAAATGAACAATAATAACAAAATGTCTTCAAAAACCTGAGTTATATCCTAAAACACATGATGTGCCCCATATGGTCTAAAACCTGACAGGTGGGCAAATCTAAGCTTGTTTTTAATAAAACAAATATAAATATGGATATAATAAATAATACTGCTAATAATAATAACATTATACAAAAGCAAATTGTTATGAATGAACTGAAAAAGCCTCCCGAGATGAAGAAGACATAAAAGCAGTGATTTTTCATATTTATGTAGGCTAGAAAATAATATGTTTTGTAATATTTTAATCCTTTATATTTATATTCTATATCTATTCTTATTATATCCTATATATATCCTTAATATTTAATTTTTATATATGTAAAGATATTTGCCTATTGCTCTCTTGTGTGAATTAAGCAGTGTGTAAGTGAGGCGCAACTCTGCGCCGGAGTTTAGACCGGGTTTGTTTTGGTCTAATGAAAAATCTATTATAGATTCTTAAAATAGCAACGCGCCAGCGGTCTGCCTCAGAACGCCTTCCTTTTTAGACCAGAACGTCTATGGGCGCAAAAATGAGCGCTAATGCATTTGCTATTTAAACAGCGTAGCGGAATGCCTCAAAACCACTCTTGCGCCAAGCTGAAACTACCAAAGACTACTGCGCCACGCCTTGCGCCCCACTGCGCCGGGTGTATGATAGGGCCCTATGTGCGCAAAATGGTTATCGCACATCAATAAGTCAGTTTATGCACTCCGAACATGATCTTTTGCGTGCAAAATAGTTAACGCAAACGCAACAAGCCATTTTGCACACCTAAAACATGATCTTTTGCGTGCAAAATGTTTAATGCACATCAACAAGCCATTTTGCACGCTCAAAACATGATCTTTTGTATGCAAAATTGTTCAAATATATGCAACAAGCCATTTTGTGAGTTTAAAACATGATCTTTTGCGTGCAAAATAGTTGCATCAACAAGCCATTTTGCACACACAAACCTTGATCTTACGGTTAGCAGTTAACACAATCTTGCGCATACAAAACATGATCTTTAGCATACAAAATAGTTATTGTAGACACAACAAATCTTATGTGTGCATAAACATCTGCAGGATATAGTGTAGTGTTGAAGTGTGTACTGTACGCACCACTGAGGATATTCAGCATGAGTGTAAGCACTGGACCGCTGGACGGAGCGTCTGGTGTCACCATAGTAAATTCACCCACAGAAGCAGTAGGAGGATATTCATCCAGCAAAGCCCTATAATCTCTCAAGTCCGCCAGAGTTATGATCCCGTCTGCAACACACACAGATGCAGGAATTAGAGGAATGTGAAATATTCAGAAATCAATGTACCAAAACACCTGAGGAACAACAGAAGCTTAGAAAGGGCAGAGATTAAAGCACTTATGGGCAGTCAATCATGTCTGAAGTGAACATTATAGATGTGTGTTTGAGTTTGTTGTGTTTTATCATATAGGTGTTAGTCAACCAATCAGTTTTGGAGTCGAAGTTAGGAAAATTCATGTGGCTCAAATCCGGCCCACACCAGACACTTACATCTGGCCCACACACCGCATGGAATGATGGCACTTGAACGGTCCGCTCCTGTTTGCCAGATCTGGGCCACAATTAAGCCATAGCAATACCTCATATCAGCCAGAATTCAACCAAATCAACCAGAACTGACCCTATTCTGCGCCACAGTTTCCTTTTATTCTGGCCCAGATCTGGCCTACACCAAACATTACATCCAGACCACAAACTGAATGGAATGATGGATCTAGGGTGGTCCGCTCCTGATTGCCAGATCTGGGCCACAAATACACCAAAGCAATACAACATATCAGCCAGAATTCAACCAAACGAATAAGAACTGACCCTATTCTGGGCCACAGTTTGCTTTTATTCTGGCCCAGATCTGGCCTACACCAGACACCTACATCTTGACCACAGACTGAATGGAATGATGGCTCTAGGGTGGTCTGCTCCTGTTTGCCAGATCTGGGCAACAAATACGCCATAGCAATACCACATATCAGCCAGAAATCTACCAAATGAACCAGAACTGACCCTATTTTGGGCCACAGTTTGCTTTTATTCTGGCCCAGATTTGGCCTACACCAAACACTTACAGCCAGACCCCAAACTGAATGGAATGATGGCTCTAGGGTGGTCTGCTCCTGTTTGCCAGATCTGGGCTACAATTCAGCTATTACTACCCATATCTGCCATGTCAAGAGCTATGGTTTGACCTCTATAATTATCAAATGATCACTGTACTTTATCTTTACCAAAACAGACCTATAATATGTTTGAGGATAACAGTACTATACTTATCACATATTACCTCAGCTGCTTTGAGCTCACACCATCTTTAGCCAGAGATACTTGTCTATATTTGCCATATATTTGCCACTATAGGCTCACAGACACATTAGCCAGAGCTTACTGTGCCGAAAACTTGCCAAAAGCATTTCACATATGTTTTAAGGTAACTGGGCCACATCTGCCATATTTTCTCTGGCCCACTTAAAGCGCAAAGCCACATTAGCCAAAGATTACTGTGCTGAATATTCACCAAAAGTGGTCCACATATGTTTAAAGGTAACTGGGCCATATTTGCCATATTTTCTCTGGCCCACTTTAGGCTCAAAGCCACATTAGCCAGAGCTTACTGTGCCGAATATTTGCCAAAAGTGGTCCACATATGTTTTAATTTAATTGGGCCACATTTGCCATATTTTCTCTGGCTCAATTTAGGTGCAAAGCCACATTAGTCAGAGATTACTGTGCCGAATATTTGCCAAAAGTGGTCCACATATGTTTTAATATAATTGGGCCATATTTGCCATATTTTCTCTGGCCCACTTTAGGCTCAAAGCCACATTAGTCAGAGATTACTGTGCCGAATATTCGCCAAAAGTGGTCCACATATGTTTTAAGGTAACTGGGCCACATTTGCCATATTTTCTCTGGCCCACTTTAGGCTCAAAGCCATATTAGTCAGAGATTACTGTGCCGAATATTCGCCAAAAGTGGTCCACATATGTTTTAAGGTAACTGGGCCATATTTGCCATATTTTCTCTGGCCCACTTTAGGCTCAAAGCCACATTAGCCAGAGCTTACTGTGCCTAATATTTGCCAAAAGTGATCTACATATGTTTTAATTTAATTGGGCCACATTTGCCATATTTTCTCTGGCCCACTTTAGGCTCAAAGCCACATTAGTCAGAGATTACTGTGCTGAATATTCGCCAAAAGTGGTCCACATGTGTTTAAAGGTAACTGGGCCACATTTGCCATATTTTCTCTGGCCCACTTTAGGCTTAAAGCCACATTAGCCAGAGCTTACTCTGCCGAATATTTGCCAAAAGTGGTCCACATGTTTTAATATAATTGGTCCACATTTGCCATATTTTCTCTGGCTCAATTTAGGCGCAAAGCCACATTAGTCAGAGATTCCTGTGCTGAATATTTGCCAAAAGTGGTCCACATATGTTTTAAGATAATTAGGCCATATTTACCATATTTTCTCTGGCCCACTTTAGGCTCAAAGCCATGTTAGCCCGAGCTTACTGTGCTGAATATTCGCCAAAAGTGGTCCACATGTGTTTAAAGGTAACTGGGCCACATTTGCCATATTTTCTCTGGCCCACTTTAGGCGCAAAACCACATTAGCCAGAGCTTACTGTGCTGAATATTTGCCCACATGTGTCTTGAGATGGGCTGGGCCACATTTGCACCTACACGTGAGCCACTTTACACCCAATTAACCATTAAATGACTACTGTGGCCCACATTTGTCCTCCGTCATTTGGGCCAAATTGACCATTTTCTCCAAAGACCACATTAGGCTCGCATTCAGATTACATTTTGCCATAAGTGCCAAATCTTTGCCTGAAATGGCCCGTAAATGAATTGTAATCGTTGGCATTGTACAGATGGGCCACTTCAGGCTCACATTCATTTTGTCTGGGCAGAATTAAGCACCAGTGCCACATAACTGCCTAAAGTGGCCCACATGGGGTTAGAATGGAGTTTGTGACTTTTAAATTTTTAATTAAATCCAAGGTAACCATTTATTATGTTATTTTTCTTCTTTTCTTATAAATAATAGAATTAAATAATCTATATACATAAATACGGTGATGAGGTGGCATAGTAGGTAGTGCTATCGCCTCACAGCAAGAAGGTTGCTGGTTCGAGCCACAGCTATGCCAGTTGGCATTTCAGTGTGGAGTTTGCATGTTCTCCCTGCGTTCGCGTGGGTTTCCTCTGGGTGCTCCGGTTGTCCTCCACAAGTCCAAAGACATCCAGTACAGGTAAATTGGGTAAGCTAAATTGTCTGTAATGTATGTGTTTGATCAAGAGTGTATGGATGTTTCCCAGTGATGGGTTGCAGCTGGAAGCTGCGCAAAACATATACTGGATAGATTGGCGGTTCATTCCGCTGTGATTAACAAAGGGACTAAGTCAAAAAGAAAATATAAAAAGGGGCAAACACTTTTTCACACCACAGTATGTGCATGCAATACTACATCTATTACATTTTAAAAATAAATCGTATTTATGCATTAAATAAATGTCATTCTTCCCACAACAATATTTCTTCTATCATGCATTTTCTAATACCCCACGGAAATCCAAACTTTCACATTGTGCAGCCATACATTTGATTTCATCTGTTGACCAGATACCAAATAATAGAATATATTTACAGATGTGTGTGTGTGTGTGTGTGTGTGTGTGTGTGTGTGTGTGTGTGTGTGTGTGTGTGTGTGTGTGTGTGTGTGTGTCTGAATGAAAAACCTGCATCTTGGATGTCCCTGACAAGGCTCTCTGCAAGGGCTCCGCTGTAAAAGGCTTCAGGCCCCTGCTCTGCGATGGCCTCATACGTGTCGGCCAGTTTAGTAAAGGTGATGGTGTCGTTTTCCTGGAGGATGTTTCCGGTGGAGTTGCAGAACACAGAGCTGAAGAAACAAATCAACCAATCAGATGCTCTCTAGTGTCTGACAGGCCCCACCCCCTTCTTCTCATTTGCTTTTCATTTGATGTGCTTGAGCTCAACCACTCTCACTGGCAGAGTTGTGAGAAAACAGAAGGCTGTTTTAATAAAGGAGGAGCAACTCAACAATGCCCCACCCTCTATTCATGTTTCGTGCTTGATTATGTCAACTATCGACTTAAAAATGCACGGTTCAAAGCACTCCATGGGACATTTAAATTTCTTGTACATACCTTGCACACCAGCCAAAACATAAGCAAATAAATGACTGGCTGCAGTTTAGAAAACGGCCACCGGTGGCGCTAATACCAAGACTTTCTGAGCTTCTTTGAATGTGTTAAAGGAAAACTGATAGCTTGAATATACTGGTTGTAAATATGTGCTCACCATAACATCTTATCCTCCAGTATGTTATTTCGATTTGATCTGATGGCGCTGGCCAGTGCGCGGCCGACAGGGAAACCATCTCTGGCCAGTTTAATGCTGGGTAAAAACAGCTCTTTCCATGGAAGTCTGCCATGCCGTCTATGGGCCATTTCATATCCTCGAATCTCTCCAGGAACAGCGATGGACAAACCACCTGTGGATGATTTTAATTGTTCATTTCTTCTGATTTGAGTCACACCTGGGGTGTGAGCAGAATGCTAGCAATATTGACCCATAGCCTATGGTACTGTCAGTATGTTTGTATGCTTTTTATACAGTTTCTCTTCTAATTTGCAAGTTAAGTGCAATTAAGGTATAATGCCAAGAAATAAATGCAAAGTCAAATTATAAATGGCAGAAGTGAATGAATAGATTTCCTCCACCAGCAAATATGTAAAAAAAAAAAATGACACCAAATATAAAAAGCAGACACTTATGAGCTATACCGCCATCACCAATGACTAAATCTCTGAGGAATATCCACAAGATAAATGTAAACACTGCTGAATTGTAGTTTTGACAGGAATATGAGGGTTTTAAATAACTGATACAGTTGCAAAATATGGATTGCAAGTGCCCACAATTTATAATCATATCTTTAGCTGCCATTATGGCCTATTATTTCAAGGTCATTATGGATACGTACCCTATATAAATTTCTAGAGAGCGCGAAATATGCCTAAGGAGCTATGTTTTTTTTTTTTTTTTGCAGTTTTTGTTTCGTGAATCCACCAGAGGCCGCTGTGTACGCTTTTTCAGATCTCAAATTTTACTCTCAAATACCATTCACGCCTTTCTTGCGTAAATCCAACAGAGGTCACTGTTTATGCTTTTTCAGATCTTAAATTTCTTTCACGGGTGCCATTCAGCCTGCTGTTCTTAATTAAATCTACCAGAGGCCACTGTGTATGCTTTTTCAGATCTTAAATTTCTCTCGCGAGTCTTATTCACGCCTGCTGTTCTGGCATAAATCCACCAGTGGTCACTGTGTACGCTTTTTCAGATCTCAAATTTCTTTCGCTAGTGCCAATCACGCCTGCTGTTCTTGCATAAATCTACCAGAGGCCACTGTGTACTCTTTTTCAGATCACAAATTTCGCGAGTCTTATTCATGCCTGCTGTTCTTGAGTAAATCCACCAGAGGCCACTGTGTATGCTTTTTCAGATCTTAAATTTCTCTCACGAGTCTTATTCACGCCTGCTGTTCTTGAGTAAATCCACCAGAGGCCACTGTGTACGCTTTTTCAGATCTCAAATTTCTCTCGCGAGTCTTATCCACGCCTGCTGATCTCACGTAAATCCACCAGAGGTCACTGTGTGCGCTTTTTCAGATCTCAAATTTCATTCGCTGACATGATTGCCAACCAACCCCTTCCCTAAACCCAATGTTTAGGGGTGTCAAAATTAATTGTTTCTTTGGTGCACCGCGATGCAGACGTGGACAATTCGGTATCGGTTCAGTAATAATCATAACCGATTATTATGTACTGACGTCATTTATCTCCTATGCGCTCTGTCGCGAGGGAGGTGAGCGCGAGTATTTACAACACTCAGCCAACTTAGGGCCGGTCCGTGGCATAGGCACCATAGGCAAATGCTAAGGGCACTGTATATCCAGGAGGGCACCAGAAAGGAGCGCGGTTCAGTTGGTTTTGTTTTCGATATTCTTGACACACATTCAGTTACAGACAGCAATAACTCAAAAACCTCTTACCCTAAAAAGATCTAAAGTGTGTTTCCTACAAAAAGACAAAGCTGGTTATGTTTCACAGCTGTCTTTCTTTCTTTTCGCTCCACACTACGAGCACTGCTCCGTTTAAGCCCTCACAATATGTGTTTAGCCGGGAGAGCTCGCGCTGAGAGGAGCTCTCAGTAAGGGGAAAAGTGCTTATTTTTTTCGCTTTTTTTTCGCTTTTCTGCTCCGCTCTTCGCGAGCTCTCCCTGTTGCGAGGGCTTAAGTGTGTGTGCGTGTGTGTGTGTTTGTTTTTATTTGGTGCTGTCTGTTTGTGTTTGAATGAGAGACAGTGTGGTGCTGTGTCTCTGTGTGTTTATACAGACAGCTTGTTATAGCCTCTCCTCTAAAATATAACACTGTATATGGAAAGCATCGTCAATACACCGTGATGCACCGAAATATCGAATTGAACCGAATCGAAGGCATGATAATCGTAACCGAACCGAACCGTGAGACCAGTATAGGTTCACACCTCTACCAATGTTTATTCTATTTTTTGCTTTTTTTTGTCAGCTTTCTGAAACCATTCTTCGCTGAACTTTTCGTTGCAGTCAACTCATCTCTGCATCGCAAGTCTGCTGATGTATGCTGCGAACCACTGGTAACATCGGTAAAACCGTCAAGACGGAGGTAAACGTTCAGCTGGCAACTCAAAAAGAAACAGAAGCCGTCTGCCGCATCATACTGCCACGCAGTGTTTGTTTTAAAGGGCCATGAAACCCCCTCGTTTCAGCAGGGTGTTTTCACACCTCTACTTTGGAAAAAGTCAGAAAAGTGGGCATGTCCAGCTCTGTTTAGGGGGGAGTGTCGGAGGAACTAAAGTGGGAGGGTGTGGGAGTGTCTATTTGGGCACGCGCGAGTTTCAGTCAAAATACACACACAGTAGAAAGTGATGGTGTTTAACCTACATGGACATCTGTAGTCGAATTATTTGCCAAATTATTAAATGGTGGACTTTGACTGCAGTTTGGCTCTTTCATTCAGGGAATTCATTCATGTCCCTCGCGACAAACGCGATATTTGATTCGAGGATCTGCTCTAAGCGTGTATTTTTCATGCAATGTTTGATACCGCACGGCGAATGAGAGAAAAAAAACTCTGCATTTCCCGGAAACTTAGATGCACACGGCAGGTAGCGTCAGAAAACCGCGTGTGTTATTCCGGTCACTAAATGCGGTGCTATGTTTGCACTCAGTGCAATAGTTAACTTAATTCGATACGAACAAACTGAATAAACACTGAGCACTGGTCGCTCACTTACCAAATCTGTAGAGACAGGACAATCACCAGCAACTAGAGCCGCGTCATTATGAAGAGAAGACTAACGTTACAAGCGAATCCGGATTTCAGCGTTTGCAGATGAGAACAGCTCTCAGGTAAACAATAATCCTCCTTAGACACGTAAGTTATTGTTGTTGAGCGTCGCGTACACTGTAATCCACACGTGACTCCAGCTGAACTCTCACAGAGAGAAAATGAAAACGAAACTTAACTGCAGCAAACTATAAAAGCAACACTTCACGCTTGTTTTGCCAACACAACGTGGCGTCTCTGTCGTGTAAACACGGTGACACTAATGAATATTAATGAAGTTGCACAATAGAGCGCGCTGATTGGTTTGAACCAAGCTTTACTCATGCATTAATGCATCACACTGTAAGACGTAATAAGACACACTCTGGCACAGACGTTCAGTCTGCATGCTGGAATACACGCTATTATGTCATGACCGTGACGCAGCTTCAAAAATTAGTTTCAAACAGGAAGTACGAATTTGCTTGAAATAACGCAAAAACAACCAATTTACACTTTTTTGTGAAATATAGGTGTCCTGATAGTGTTTTTAGCAGTGTGGGACACATATACGACTGTCAACAGCTCAAAACATGTGTTTTGGTGTTTCGTGACCCTTTAAAGATGAAATACAGCCAGACGTACCTCTGGCTACTTAATTTGTGTTCTCAATAAATGCATACCAGGGTACTTATCCACAATGAGCCTGTTTTGGCTAGTAATGTCCTTCAATTGGTATGTTATTTTGTCAAAGGCTCAATCAGTGGCACATAACCATGTTTACACTACATTGATGTATAGCTTTATGGTTTCCTTGAACAAATCCTACATTAACCATATGTGCTGTACTGCTGTGAGTTATCGATTGCTGAAATGGTGTTGATAATGTACTTTGTGATGCTTATCTCTTAATGTAGTGCATCACGAGGCCACTTATGGCATAAATCCTGATTCACCAATGATTTTTCTGAGTTTCAGTAATGTGGTTAATGGATACCTTTCTGGGAAAGCTCTGTACTATTTCCAAACATGTCTCTGGTGGCGTTAGCAGGGGCTGTCTCACGAGCATTGATGGTTTCAGCTTTTCCTGCAAAATCAAAATATTAAATAAAAAAATATAGAAGGGATTATGAATTAATGTCTTCCATTCATTTTTCTTTGGCTTAGTCCCTTTAGTCATCAAGGGGTCGCCACGCAGAATGAACCGCCAACTATTTCAGCATATGTTTTACACAGTGGATGCCCTTCAAGCCACAACCCAGTACTAGGAAACATCCATGCACACTCATTAACAGACACACACTACAGCCAATTTAGTTCACCCAATTTACCTATAGCACATGTTTGGACTGTGGGGAAACCGGAGCACCCGGAGGAAACCCACACCAACACGGGGAGAACATGTAAACTCCACATAGAAATGCCAATTGGCCCAGCTGACGCCCGAACCAGCAACCTTCTTGCTGTGAGGCGATCGTGCTACTCACTGCGTCACTGTGACGCGTATATATGAATAAATTCTTCATATCCATCAATCCACATTGTGTCAGACTAAATCAGTGACTGCTTATACTAACTAAAAATAATAAAAATAAAATAAATAAATATAAAACAAATAAATAAATAACTGTTTTATTGTACAGGTAAGATATTAGACATTGTAATTATAACATTCTAAAAAAAATATTTACATGTTTATTTTAATATCTTTAGTTTAAATTATATAATTAAATTATAATTAAATAAAAAATAATGTATAATTTTTTATATTCATAAAAAAGCATCATTAATTTTATATACATTTATTAATTATTTTCATAAATATAAATAGTCACTGTTAAATGACTTCTCTCTGCCTGAAAAGTCTATGCACATTAATTTTCTATTAAGATCATTTTAAATTTAATTTATTAAAATAAAATATATACACATTTATTTTAATAAATATATATTTT